AGGACTTCTTTTTCTTTCACATTCACTTTCTCTCAACTTTTATCTTCCCAGTGGCACAAAGCAAGATAAAAGGTAATATGGTATTAACCTCTTTGCAAAAATAAACTGGAAGAAGTTATTTTTTATATCTTCGCCACTTAGGATCGACACAAGGTTTTTAAGCAACACTTTCTGTTTCGGGCCTATACATTTTTGGAATAACTGCTATCATTCAAATGCCTGATTACCACATAGCTGGATGACATCCACAAAACTACTGGCATAAAATGAGGGAAAAATAAACCTAAACAACCTCCCAACTCCTTCTTAAAACAGATCTCCAGTTTCATCTCCCTGGCAAGAGACATGACACAGCTAACAGAACAAGTGGTTCCATAATAGCATCTACATACACTACCGAAAAGTGATTCAAAAGCTCAAGCAGGTTCCACAGCCATGATTTAACTGATAGTAAACTGTTTTAGCAAGATGCACAAACAAGGGAATAAGATTTTTAAAAGCACTGTGCCACTTTCATTTCATTTAGAAACACACAAGGTCAGTTTGCCACAGGTCTATAAGCTCATAGCTGTACTGAAGTCATCTTGGAACAAGACTTTGATTTTTACACCAGATTCAGGCACATAGGAATGAAAAGTAAAAAAAAAAAAAAAAAAAAACTGTCCATAACTGAAAAAGACATTCAAGTGCACATTAAGTATTTCTAAGGGGAAAAAAAAAAGAAGAAAAAGAATAATTAACAATTATCTTAAAAGTAGTGCCCATCAGCCCTTAAGGGGCTATGAACATAGCAGAACCTTTTGGAGGGGAGAAAGACAGGGATCTGCAATGTCTTTAAAGGATCAAATCTGTCACGCTTTGTTTCTGGCAGATTTTTTTTTTTTTTATTTACCTCACATTTTTCCACTGCTGGTTGCTGCCCGCATTCAGAGCTGTTCCCTGCCACAATGCCAGCCCGCAGGCTCTCACTGTCACCTGTCCCCTCTTCCATGGAGTAGGTTTTGGAGTGGTTGCCATGATGGTGTGAGGGGCCTCGACTCTGTGCCAGGCTGAGCTGCTTGCGAAGCACACGGTTCTCCTCCTCCACCTCCCGCATGCGGACTTCCAAGCTCTCGCGCTCCCGCTGGCTCGAAGCCGCGTAACGAGGACTGTGGGGCTGCGATTCAATTGGAGACAGTGACACTGGCTTTCCATCTGCAAGAGATGGAAACAAAACGCTTCTTTTAGAATATACTTCAAGTTGTGTTTCTCCTCAACATCAGCATTGTGATGCAGGGATGTATTTGCAACGTAACCAAATTTTATACGGACCAGGAACTTAAAAGGAACAGTTAAGAATATGCTAAACTTCAGACAAATGCTGAAGTTCTACAAGCTTCAGGTCCCACTAATTTCAAAACCGCACTAAAAGATAAGCATGTGCTTCTTTTGTTCTGCACTGAGCTGCTTGCCAGGCTCTGGTCTGGGAAGACAGTCAAGAAGAGAAGGATTTAATTCAAGGACAATTAATATATAGTTAAATATATTTTAGAAACGTATGCAAGACATAATAATTTTCCTATTCCCCATTTTCTCCACAGCCAAGCTACAGCATTTTGGTTACCACTGCGTGCCAAACAGTAGCCCCAGCTGATTCACATGTGAGGAGCAGATGGTCTTTATTTAGCAACCCAGTATTATATGCTTGCTGAGAAATGAGAGGTTCAGAAGGATAGAAACATTTAATACCTATGTGGATCAAATTCTACCAAGTATTTTGGCTGAAAAAGACAATAAGGGGATTCTGAAAAAAATTAAACAGTTCAATTTATTACCATTAAATGAAAGATTATATTCCAGAAATACGAAAGATTTCATTTTCATATTTTTAAAGGGTACTTTCTTTGTTCAAAACAGCATTAAAAATGACTTAAATATAAAGGATAAAAAAGATAAATTAAGCTGAAATCAAGGTCCATAACCAAAAAAATGACAACTGCAAGAAGTTCTACCATCACTTCCTTGTACATTATTGCCACCAAATTTCAAGACAGCAAATACAGATACAGCTGATGTTTTGTCAACGGAGACATATTTTCGTACGATTTTAACAAGGCTATACATATATTTAATACAAATGCTTGAAAGGTGGTAAAATACAAATTAATCTAATGTTCAAAAATGTTCAATTAAAATCAAGTGGAAAGACAGCAAAGCAGACAGTAAGAGTTATCCACAGTGTTGTAATTAGCCAGGCATTCCATTACTGTGAAGATGGTATGTGAATGTCTTATACCAAGGTATTTCTCAGAAATAACTTTCCACCTGCATGCATTGAAGAAGGCTTGCTATTCAATAATTTCTCCACTGCACAGAGTCACTTTGGCTTTATCAAACAAACACCAGCTTGAGTGATTTAGAAAACACAGAAATCATGCAGTTATTGTTTAGCTGTTCTCCTTAGCATGTATATTTCTCATCTGCTGAGCTGAATTATTTTCCTGCTATAAAGACCTGTTCATTGCTTGTTTTCTTCCATTGGTTCTTATTTACATGAATGGTGTGTAGTCCTTTAAACTGAGCTTATGAAAAAACAGGTACAAAATAGCTCATTTCAAAATTCCATTGTTGTAAGTCACACAGATGTACACATAGAGAGCTAATCTGTTTTTAATCCATACTTAGATAGAATGCATTTGCTTGTAGACCTGCTTTGCCCAAAATTCTCTAATTTATTATTTTTACCATCATTAAGATGGATAAATCTGAGCTTGAAAGATGTCTTAGGACAGATTCTGAAGTTTTGCCACTGATCCTTGGGAACTTGTATCCTCAAGTGATTAGTTATTAATAATGAAACAACAGATTCGAACAGATTGAAAATCATGCTTGCAACAGTAGAGAAATGTCAACGTTAAGGACAGATCCATGCTATAATCAGAAGTACAATGAAATATTGAAATAATGGGCAACCAGCTTGGAAGACATAAAACTGAAATTGTGACTGCATGGACTTTGCATGGACTGTATAAGTTCACGCAAAAAATCCTGAGTACTTAGCTGTGCAGCTAGTCTGTGCTCAGAGTTGTAGTGCTTTTGTTTCTTAGCTGCTGATACCAAAAGCAGCAGGACTAAAATTTGTTTGGATGTGCTTATGTTGCAGTCGTGTTACTGGATAGCAAGAGTGCATTGCATAGATGTTCTCAGATAAAATGAAAAGCAGTAACCCTTCCTTACCCGCACAACAACGAACCTGTGTTATCATCAAATCTACAATTACAACGCAAACCTAGTCAAAGACCTCACTAGCAATCCTAACTCCTTGCTTGGGAATATCCAATATGACACAGATGTTACTTATCTCTTCCCATTCTTGTCATTAGATTTTGCCACCTTTTCAAGTAATTGCCACAAAAAAAAAAATACTGACTAAATATCAATTCAAGATATGACAAGAACAAGAAACGAAAGTAAATCTCAGAACAATGATGTTCATCAGAATTTCCAACTGTGGAAAAAATTGAGACGTGTCTGAAGTTATTCTAAGGGCATAAATCAGTTGGTCATACATGTTGCTTTGCCAGAATTCGAAATTAACAAAAGAGATGTAACTTTGTACATTTGACCAATTGCAGCTTTATTCATGAAAACAGCTGAACAGTTTCTAGACAACCTTTAGAAGAAACAATACAGTCTGAGAAAAGAATTGAATGAAGAGAATGTCACCTGACTGCTTTAGACTGAAAGCTCTAGCAGCTAAAGGGAGCAGCTCAGTGTTTAAGCAGCCTTGGCATTAAATGCCATCGAACTCCCCTCTGCCTTCTCATTAGTATGTGTTTATGCTGATATGTAAAAGGCAGTACTGGAATCATACAAGGAATTACAGAGCCAGCTATCTTCTTGATCTGAAATACATAAGTACTTGAAATGTGTTGTTTTGCGTGTTTTCTTATAAAGTGCTAAGTCCAAGACATTTCCTGAGATGATTACATCATGGTTCCTACAGCAGGACAAGTACTATTGGTGATTACTCTCAGGTATCTTGATGTATTTGATATTTACATAAGACCCCAACTCCCTGATGCAAATGATAATGTGATAATCCCAGGACCCATTTGAAATATAAGTATAAAAGATAAAAGTGAACCCAGCTTGACCTTCAGACTCAGAAGGCAAATATTTTTTGTCTTCAGTCTTGATTTTGAGAATAGCTCTCAATCTTTTCACATCTGAGGTTGGCAAGGCTGGTGGTAAGGTACTATTTGAATTAAGTCCTGTTAACAGACTAGACATATGAAGAAACTTTGACTTCAGTGAACATATAGTTGTGGCAAAACACCTCTGGGGAGCTACGTTCTACCGGATAAACACCAATCGATGCCACCCTGATTTGCTTCTGATCAGTTTTCAGGGTAATGCAAGGACTATGTGTTTCACTTGGTCTTTGAAGAAGAAATAAGTGGACTAGCGTAAGGGAATATTAGTATTTGATTGACTGTATGCTGCTTGATACAAGAGTTAAACTGACGGCATTGCACTTGAGTTTTATAGTTTTAAGTAACTGGCAGAGTGCTCTGAACTCATGTCTGGTCACTTTTTATCTAATCTAAATCAAAATAAAATAACATAACACAGAACGAGGTCTGTGTGACTTTGGGCCAAAAGATCTCCCAGGGAAGAGCACAAGGAACAGTGCTGTGCGCTGAAGCAAGCCGTACACTTTTGAATGCTGCAATAAATAATAATAAACCTATTATTTTTTATTCTTCATTTGGGATTATTGCTCTATATGTGGGCTGTGGTAGTTTCAGACTTAGTTTTTTTTATACCTCTGTCGAGCCTTTTACCTCACACTTTCTTTGCTAATAAAACTGTACCAAAGAAATAGAAATGATCTGCAAATTTTCACTGCCTACGAACCAAAACCTAAACACAAACCTGAGCAATTATTTCATGGCAGACAGCAGCCAATGACTTATCATCATAGGAGGGCCAACAATTCTGAGAACTTAATGACTTGCAAGGTATGAATTCTGTGGCTTTCTGAATGCTTCTGTGTTTGCAGAGTTGCCCGTCTTCTAAGACAAGGGATGTCGTTAAACATTTCTGTCTTCTAGTCAAGCACAGCACCTTAAGACTTTGGAATATAAAGCCTAGGGAAAGCAATCCAGCACAGTTTATCTGATAGGAAGGAGACTGGAGCAGTGGAATTTTCTTTTGGACAAAACCTGAAGGATAAGCATTAACAACAAGCATCCTAGTTTTGCACTTATTAAACTTGGAGATATGAAGGGTCTGAAAAAGAACCAGGAGCATCAGAAGCTTGCTAGGCATGCTTTTTCACAGAGAAAGCATGGTTTAGACACAGATTGACTGCAGGTCTGGATGAGGGAGAAAGAGGAAGAGTATAAGGAAAAAAAAATTCCCATGACTCAGAGGAGAAGAAAAGTGCAGAAATAGGGATCCTGAGTTTCTTAGATGACTCGGATCTGAACTCAAATGATATAAAGTTAGGAGGTAACTGAGGCAGGGAATTTTATGTAGCAAGTTTTTGGTACTTTTTTCCTTAATTTTTTACATTTCTTAATTTCATTTACTATCTTAAGTGAAGCCTGCTTGTTTTTTGGCAGCTGTACAAGGTCTAGAGGTTTCTATGTGTTTTTAGCTACTATTTGTCCCCTGACTAATAGTGTGCAATGCCTTTATAATGAATTAACTGATGATGGTGAACTCTAGGCTGCCTCTGAGATAAGAGGAAGTCATGCTGCTCACAGATAATATTTCAGTCTGTCTGACTACAGATGCAAGAAAACACCACTCCATTTCACATTTGTTCACATTTGAAAATTCACATTATCAGCGCACTCTTTGAGGGCTACCAGTGTAAGAGTTTTAACCAAAAGCTGACATTCTGTAGAAAGAACTGGCATAGCAGGCAACTGCCTTCATGAATTTCCCCCTTAAGGCCATAAGCAAAATCATTTGAAGTTCATTCTGCAGCTATTTTTTTCCCCGTGAAGAATACTGTAGAGAACTCCAAGGACCCGAAGGGAAAAGAAAAATAAGAAGACTGCAGTCAGGCCTACGGGAACATAAAAGCTCTGTGTAAGTGTGTAAATTACTCCTCTTCTTTTGGAGCTGTAGCTCAGCTTCAGTCAGCTACCGCCTTAGTACTCTGTGTACTTTTGCTCAGCTGGTTGCTGTGGTAGACACTG